GCGATGCCACTTCTTGCCGGACGTCAGTTTTACAAATGTGGATTGTTCTCAGCAGAAAGCAGCCTTCAGAGGAAAAGCAGCCTTCAAACTCTTCACTTGAAAGCTTACTCTTAAAGTCTGAGCAGAAAGGACGCCTCGCAGCAGGGTCAGGCTGCTTTGGAGAGATTCTTTCAGTTAGCTAACCCTGCCTATTGGATATGAGACCTGGAGCTGTTGCCTGCTATGCAGCCCTATCAATTCGGGGTGTCTGTGAGTGTGAAAGAGCCCGGAGCACTTGGCCACGGCCACCGCTACTGCAGCAGTGGCCAGAGCACTGGGCCCTTTAAACTGCTGTCAGAGCTGCATGGTGCTCTCCGGGCAGCGCTGAGGGTTAGGTGGTGGTGGTGGTGGGGGCATCATGGTCTGCATAGTGCTGAGGGCTGGCTGCCCCCAGCCCCGCCCCTTCCAAGGGCACAAAGTAGCACCCCTCCCATCTTGCCCAGTGAAGCTGTCAGGTCCTCTGTTCACTGTGTTCGCACTGGCTTCATGGCACTCCCCTTCTGGTCCTGAAAGCCTGGGGGAGGAAGGATGGTCTCCTGGCCAAAGCACTGGACTGGGTTCAAGAGACGGGTGTTTTAATTCCTGTGTCTGCAACAACCACTCTGTGTGACCATGGACATGTCACTTAACCGTCTCTCTTTCTCTTTCCATCTGTACAGTCAGGCTAACACAAATCTCCATTACTGTGTAACTTGGCCCTACAAAACTCCCTGGTCAGCGAGCTGCTTTTGATGGAAGCGTAGAAAGGTCCTTTCCATGGACATCAATTTCTTCTGACTGGCTAGATGCTGTTCCCGCTCTCGTGCTAGGGCTGTGCCTGGGGCCTGACACCGGATGTATTCCCAGCAAGAACTTACTGAATTCTCAGCCATTCCAAGCCTTCTGCTTGACACTGCAACAGCTTTGGTTGTAAAGCTGCGTCTGCTTTCACTGCCGGCCTGTCGTGAACAGCAGCTGCCAGGTTCAGGCAATGCCAGTGGCTTCGCGACTAGCCATTGGGCGGAGCATCCGTAATGCTTGGTGCAGCCCCAGGCCTGCTCTGGGATCCTTTTTGCTGAGTCTTCTCAGCAGCGCTCCAAAGGCAGCATTCACTCTGACACGCCCCATTTCTCACCTAGATTTGATATCCCACGTCCTGTGCAGTGACGGGTGCTGTAAATTCTCCTGTTTGCTCAAGGTCGCGTTCTTCAACATCGTGGGCGGAGCATCCGTAATGCTTGGTGCAGCCCCAGGCCTGCTCTGGGATCCTTTTTGCTGAGTCTTCTCAGCAGCGCTCCAAAGGCAGCATTCACTCTGACACGCCCCATTTCTCACCTAGATTTGATATCCCACGTCCTGTGCAGTGACGGGTGCTGTAAATTCTCCTGTTTGCTCAAGGTCGCGTTCTTCAACATCGTGTTTCCGAAGGGTCCATGAAGAGACAGCGGGTGAAGGCAACCGAAGCCACGCCCCTTCCCCCAAAGCCACGCCCCTACAACAATCCCTGCACCCCAGCCAAGCCCCATGCAACCCCAGCTGAGGGCCAGAGCTGCTGTATGGCATGGCCCCAGCCTTCCCTGGGAGCCGGGCTGCCTTGCAGCATGGTCCCAGGCCCTCCCAGGTAGCTGGGCAGTGTAGGCAATTTTAGGCAGTGCCTTCTCTGTCGCCCATGAGAGAGAGACTTTGTTGCCATTACATCATATCCTCCCCATTCCATCCTTGCTGCCCGTTAGCCTGCTTTGAAGCTGGATATCATCCAGTTTCCATGCTAGCTCTCCGATGCTTGGTGTATATCAAGCAAGGGTAGGAGTAAGAGCGCCTGGCACTTTATCCATAAGCGAAACTCCCCAGCTTTTTGGTGAGGTGCTTTGTCAGTTAGACAAGTACGACGAGTGACCGAGAGAAGCGGGGGAGAGAGAGAGATTCATTCTCTGTGTTCTGCTTTGGCTCAGTAGGAGAAACCACTGGGTCCTGGCACTGTGCAAAGCTCCAGGGAAGAAAAGTCTGAAGGCGGAGGGTGGGTATACAGGAGCAGAGCGCAGGTGCTTGACTTGCTGGTGGAGTGAGGTTGTCCGAAACAGGGAGCAAAGCGAGGAAGGCGTGATGGCTTCCATAGGCGAAGACAAAGATGAGGATGGAGCCATCTGAGCACCATGGAAACGAATAGAAGTCATGCTGCTCAACCCCCTAGTCCACAGCCTAGGACGCTTAGATGGAGAGAGCCCAGCCAAGGGCCGGCATGGAGCTGTGGAGCACCTTGAAGGGGTGGACAAGGAATGTAAATTGATGCAGAAAGAAATGGGGAAAGTGAGCGGATGGCCCCTCTTCTTCCCCCTCTGCTATCGTCATAGGTGTGGACAGCTTTCCTCCTGCCAGATTGCTCATGTTCCCTAGACAGGCCAGGTGCTCCTGTTGTGGTGCCTGCAGTGGGATCACACCAGTTCTGTTGCCCTCTCACTGGGCTTAGGGTCACTGGATGCTTGTTTAGTAGGCCAGTCTCAAGAATGTGCCAGGTAGCAAACTTTGCCAGCTGACCGGTAGAGTGGGCCTGCTGGCACTTGGTGCTTTTCTTGGCCCTTATGGTTCAGGATTGCTGTACCCCGGAGCAGCACCACCCCAGCCACTGCTGCTGCTGGGCTCCAAACACTTTCCCCTCCCTGCTTTGCTGGCACTCCATCGCCTGCTCCTGCTGCTTGTCACCTCTAATGGAGAAACCCTTATCCTTAGGAGGCGTGTCCCCTTTCCACTGCCAGCATCTCCCCTCCACCGCTGCTGTGCTTGTAGGAAGGGGACATGGCTTAGAAGCAGAAGGGCCCCTGTAAAGAAGCTGCCCAACTTGGTTTGTGCCCTGCCCGTGGAGACGTGACTCTCTCAAGTCCCGGCTTGCTGCTTCGCAGGTCACAAGCCGTTCTTGGTAATGAACACAAAGAAACAGCAGAATGTCGCAAATGCCGGTTTCCAGGGTTACCTGTGTACCGCTGATAGCATGCAGGAAATTAAAACAGTCTGCCCTGGCGATATGTTATCGGCACCAGATGGCAGCAGTAGGGGGATACGTGTGTCCGAGGAAGGCATAAAAGCAAAGGCGGCTGGCACAACTGTTGAATTTGTACATTAACCACTGAGTCGCTTGAAGACGAAAGCAAAGCTTTTAATGAAGTACAGTCCCTGGCTTTATTTTTATGGCACAGGCTAGAAGTTACATGGGGCCCCACTAAATGCTTCGTGCTGGATAACACTGAGGCCTCCACGGGGCAGGCGTGTTAGTAGCAATGGGTTGAGTTATTGCCTCTGAAGTGGCCATATGTCCCTCTTTAATGGTTACCCGTTAGCCCTCCTCTTAGTTGGAAGCTGGAACTAGCTACTGGAGTCTATGGCAAAGTTCTTCCTGGCACAAGCAGAACAAATTACTGCTTCTGGACGTCACTGATTTAGATGGTTGGCCTCTGTGCGTGTCTCTATTTGAAAGGCGCTACCTCGCTCTTTGCCTTGGGGCCTTTTCTTAGCACCCATTTCACATCTGCACAGAACCCGGCTTTTCAGAACTCTCCTAGAAACAGCAATGCCCACATGACAGAGCCCGCTCCTGGGGAGCTAGTATGAGATTACTTCATTAGAAATAGACTGAGGCTCAGAGTATTGCCCTCCACTGCAACCAGCAAAGTCACCAGGCATAACAGTCAAAAGTTGCCCATTAATACTAGAAGAACCAAGTATTTGTCGTCCTGCCACACACTTGTATTTCCCCCCCCCCCCTTTTTTTTTAAATTAACAGTCCTCCTCTTTGGAGATGAACTGTGCAGCCAAGTTGGGGTATCCATCTGTAAAGCCAATGGACCCAGGTTGTTGGCTGGTGGGATTGAACCTGCGACCTCAGGGATTAAAGCCATGTGCTCCTCTAACATGAGCTAAAAGCCAGATGCCTCTCAGCTTAGGCTGTAGAGCAGACTTCATTCTCCTTTGTCCCTCTGGGTTACAGCTCAATAACCCTGTTGGCTCTGCTCCATACTACGCACTTCCTGGGAGAGCATAAGGAACCAAACAGACAAGACTGTCAGTTTCTCAGACCTATAAACCCCAGTAGTGGTCTTGCTGAGGCACTAAGAGCGCTGGACAGTCTAACCAGCTGGTACCTTTGCAGAGGCCTAACTGTGTTGCAGGACGTGGTGAAGTGTCTAGTCAGACTGTGAAAACTGAGCTAGAAGATACCTTGATGTGTTTCATTGCTGTTCTTCCCCTCCCCCCCTTCCCTTTTTGATGCTGGTTTTCAAGTATCTGGAGACCCTTTTGCCTCGCCTCTGAATCCTAGACCAGTTTGACCTTGCCAAGTGCTGCATGCAGGAACCGATACAAAGAGGAGGATCTTGATAACTAGGCCTTTTTCAGCATTGATTGCAGACAACATATAATATGTCTCCATGCCAGTCAGAGGTGTGAATGCAAGATGTGTTGCTGTACCTGAGCCAAAGCAGTGAAGCCATGGCAGCACAGACTAGAAACTTGGATACCTACCTACTGTCTGGGGTGGCTCAGAGCTTCCCAGCTGTGCTTGGAGCTCCTCAGATCAAAGCTAGCTGGGGACATATACACTGAGCCACCCCTCTGGCGGCCAAGTAGACTACCTCATTGACGCCCCCATTCTTTACTTCCTAGGTTACTCTTCCCATTCCCACCAACCAGTGGATGTGTTCTGTCCTCTGAACAAATTTGACTCATTAACAACGCTTAGTGAAGACACATTGTCTCTGGTGTGTGCGAAGTCTGACACTGCACTGTTATAGTCATAGGTCAAGTGACCAGTCAAGTTGCTTTCTTAGTCTATGGTTCATGGCTTTACCTCTGGGCCTAGTTTTGAGAGTCTTAACTTTCAAGAGCTTTGGTTGGCTGAGATATACCTGGAGAAAGGGACCAGAAAAACCAGAATTCCCCACATTTACACACATGCTAATTTATATATAATCTCTGCAAACATGTAATTTCAGATATCCTGAATGATGCCATATTTGATGAAGATCATGATGAGATGGTAATTGTGAAGGACATAGACATGTTCTCGTTGTGCGAACATCACCTGGTTCCATTCGTTGGGAAGGTAACTACCTAACAAAACAGATTCTGTGGTATAAACTACAATTTCAGTCTCTCATTCATATGTGGTTTGGTTTCTGTCTTCTTTTTAAAGCTGTAACTATTTGCAGTCGTTGACTCTCTACATTATAGCAATCTTCAAAATACAAATTCTGAAGATCACCTTCCTGGTAGTTTTCTATGGATTTAAGACCCAAACATATGTAGTGCTCAACCTTTATCAGTCTAACAGTTTCTGACATTTGGTATCCAAGCTCTTCATGAAGCAGCAGATAGCCTTCAGGGCAGATGTCTTGATATTAAACCAATGTGCCCCAGACGTCGGCTTTGATCCATTACAGATTACACTAACAATCTGAAAAGCCAGCCAGTGCGTATTCGTCACAGTAAAGTGCTGCAGACTGTGCAAACCTTGGGTTACTGTGCTCTTCTAAATGAATAGAAGGGCCCAGATTTCCAGGAGCAACTAGTGATTTCTTTTTTGGGTGCCTAAATAGTGGCAGCCTAAAAGGGCCTCGATTCCAGACCGTGCTGAGTACTCTTTGAAAATCAGGCTTTTAAAATGTCTCAGATTGGACACTGTAAAACCGAGGCCCCCAAGCTAAAGACCGTGGTCTCAGTGGTGCTCTGATGGCCATGCCAGCTCCAGAAGTACCAGAGGATGGAGGATCTGCCTAGCAGTGTTTCCCCACAAAGCATAGGTGTTCCCAAGGCCTGTAAAACTCTTATTGATGCCATTGGTGTTCCAAACTATATTTTCTTGTAAAATACCTGCAGAGAAGCCCAGTTATGTATATTTCTGAGGTAGCATCATCTCATTATTGTCTCCTCTGCTCACTCTGCTATGTTTAAAGGCATGTCTTCATGGGTTGATGGACATAAATGTGATAAATCGACTGCCGAGTGTTCTCCCGTCAACTCCAGTTACTCTACTAAAACAAGAAGAGTAAGTGGAGTGGACGCGAGAGTGTCAGCTGTTGACTTACCACTGTGAAGATACCAGGGAAAGCAGACCTCAGTACGTTGACTTTAACTACAGTATTAATGTAGCTGAAATTGTGTAACCCTAGGTCAAAGACCTGCGGTAGTATAGACAGGCCTAACTCTGGAAAGTAAAGAGTCTTCTTTCTGTTCTTAGCTGTCTATTTGCCTATACCATGGAAGATGTATGTGTTTCTTTCTCATTACTCTGTGGCAGCCTGTACATTCGTTTTACATTTAGAAGTTTAACCTGTGTGGTTTGGAGAAATCCCAAGCACTGAGTTGGTCCTTTTGCTCTGTTCTCTCCCCTTGTGCTGTCTGGACCTTGATTGTCACAGGAGGTTAGCTAAATGACATGAAGTACTTCTGAGTGTTGTTAGACTAGCTGTTCTTCTGTTGGGTACATCAAACATGCTGCAAATGCTCTTCAACAAATGATGTGTTGGTAGCTCTGTCTAAAAATTCACAAACAATAGACTAGTCGCACCTTAAAGACTAACAAAACATGTAGATGGTATCATGAGCTTTTGTGGGCATAGCCCATTTCTTCACATAACAGGAGTGTCCTATGAAGAAGTGGGCTGTGCCCATGAAAGCTCATGATACCATCTACATGTTTTGTTAGTGTTTAAGGTGCAACTAGTCTATTGTTTTTAAGTTTTTCCTGTTAGGGTACGTCTCCAATAGCCCCCTAGTTCGAACTAGGAAGGCTAATGAGGACAACCGAAATTGCTAATGAAGCGTGGGATTTAAATATCCTGCGCTTGATTAGCATATTCCCGGCCGGTCACCATTTTGGAAACTGACTAGCCCAAAGTAACTACACGCGGCAGAGAAGCAGGATTCCGAGATTAAACCCCTTAATTCGAATTAACTATTACTCCTGAGTAACAGTTAATTCGAACTAAGGGGTTTATCTCGGAATCCTGCTTCTCTGCCGCGTGTAGTTACTTTGGGCTAGTCAGTTTCCAAAATGGCAACTGGCTGGGAATATGCTAATCAAGCGCGGGATATTTAAATCCCGCGCTTCATTAGCAATTTCAGTCGCCATCATTAGCCTCCCTAGTTCGAACTAGGGGGCTAGAGTAGAGGTACCCTTGCAGACTAACTCAGGTACCCCTCTGTTTGAAAATTCACAGTTAAGCTCTTCTCTCAGGGCAATGAAGTCATTGCTTATTTCCAAGTACCTACTGCAAAACCATGTCTCATACTTTGATCTAAAACATTTCCCGTCTTTCAGGTGTCAATTGGTTGATTACCCAATAGAAAACTGATAGGAGTGAGCTAGTTTATGATACCTATTGCCACAGGTACAAGCAAAATAGCATTGTGAAAGGCCAGTCTTTTAGGGAAAATGATATGAAATAACCCTACACTGACCCTTTCCTACTGCTATGTGGTGGCAAACATGTTCTTTTGTACAATGATACACCAATGGGTTATCTATATTCTGCTCTAACTATAAATCCACTTGAATGCAGTAGCTGGTCTCACAACCCTGTACTTGACAATTCTCAGATTTGTGCTGAGAAAAAGCATGCTTTTAGGACCGTCTTTAATAGTGAGAACTCTACTGTTTTGGTATTGGCTGTTTATTAAATATGAATGCTCAGACGGTAAAAGCATATTTGATCAGCGTGGAAGGTGGCTTTAATTTCAGTATCAGTGTTCCAAGAATTGTTCCTTAATTCTCTGCTCAAGTGCATTTCAGTCTGCACACTAAACACTTCTTGCCACATGAGCTCTCCTATTAAAGTGAAAAGGACAGACTTTCTCCAAATGATTTTTTGTTTAGGAAGACTGCATCTATTTTAGCTTAACTTTGCTGTGCTGAGGAATACTAAAACAATCTCTCTCTTGCACCTGACTTAAATTCTGCACGTACTTTGTAGCCATCCTCGGACTGGATATAAAAGCTCAAGATTATGCTTGTAAGAGTTGTTTTGACCTTTTACAAAACTCTTGCCTACTTTAAACAAAGATGCTGAACTCACCAGCATTCTCAGTCTCTGATACACTTGGCATTTTTTAAAACGTTTAAACTAAACTAAAACCAAAACTACCTAATTTAAACAAAAACCCTACCCAGAGTCTAATTACGTGTAGGAGAGGATGCAGGCAGAAGCCCAGCAGCAGAGTGGGGGCTATCCTGTTTATTGCACCCAGTGTAGCATGTATTACCTGCCCTATGGACAGGTAGCATATGGGTGCATTTGATGCAAGGAGCTCCTGGCCCTCAGAGACCGCATATGGATTTTGGAGGCCAGGATGGTTGAATTGGAGAAGCTAAGGGAGGCCAAGAGATATGTAAATGAGGCTTTCTGGGACACTGTAGGGCTGTCCCACCTCCAGTCAGACAGCTCCTGTGTTGTTAAGGAGTATAAAAGGCTCAGGGAAGGAGAACATTCAGCTGGATTTAGGACCCTCCTTCCAGATGATGTTGCGGTATCCTGTCGCACTGAGGATACCTCTGCAGGGGAGGGAACTCCAGTCATTAGGAAAGGCAGGTGATAGTAATAGGGGATTCCATCATTAGATGAGAACCGAGAGAACAGTATGGTGACTTGCCTGCCTGGTGCGAAGGTTGCAGATCTCTCGAGACATCTAGGTAAACTTATGTGTAATGCTGGGGAGGAGCTGGTGGTCATGGTACATGTTGGTACCAATGACGCAGGGAAGGGTAGGAGAGAGGGTCTGGAGGGCAAATTTAGACTGCTAGGAAAGAGATTGAAATCCAGGACCTCTACGGTGACGTTCTCTGAAATGCTTCCAGTTCCACGCACAAGGCCAGTAGTCAGGCTGAACTTTAGAGTCTCAATGCGTGGATGAGATGATGGTGTAGAGAGGAGGTGTTTAGATTTATTAGGAACTGGGGAAAATTTTGGGATGGGGGAGCCTATACAGGAGGGATGGGCTCCACCTAAACCAAAATGGAACCAGACTGGCACAGAACATTAAAAAGGTCATAGAGCAATTTTTAAACTAAGGGCTGGGGTAAAGCCAATTTGTGTGGAGGAGCACATAGATCGACAGAGACATCTCTTAGGGGAGGGGGGTCTATTAATAGAGATTGTCTATTCTAGCAAAGAGGAGAGGATGGAAGATGATAAAATTATGGGTAAGATCAGGTGAGACACAATCAAATGAAAAAGAGTCTAACGCATCAGAAAATGGCAGACAGATAAATAGTGACACATTTTTAAAGTTTTACACAAATGCTAGAAGTCTAAATAATAAGATGGGTGAACTAGAGTGCCTCATATTAAAGAAGGATATTGATATAATAGGCATCACAGAAGCTTGGTGGAATGAGGACATTCAATGGGACAGAGTCATACCAGGGTACAAAATATATCGGAAGGACAGAACAGGTTGTGCTGGTGGGGGAGTGGCACTATGCGTGAAGAAAATGTAGACTCAAATGAAGTAAAAATCTTAAATGAGCCAAAATGTTCCATAGAATCTCTAATTCTATGGAATAGTAATTCCATGCTCCAATAATAAGAATATAGCAGTAAGGATATATTACCAACCACCTGACGAGGACAGTGATAGTGACTATGAAATGCTAAGGGAGATTAGAGAGGCTATTAAAATAAAAAACTCAATAATAGTGGGGGATTTCAACTAACCCCATATTGACTGGGTACATGTCACCTCAGGACAGGATGCAGAGATAAAATTTCTTGATACCTTAAATAACTGCTTCTTGGAGCAGCTGGTTCTGGAACCCACAAGGGGAGAGGTAATTCCTGATTTAGTTCTAAGTGGAGCACAGGATATGGTCCAAGGGGTAAATACAACTTGGAAATAGTGACCATAATGTAATAAAAATGTAACGTCCCTGTGGTGAGAAAAACACCAATAGCCCAACACTGTGGCATTTAATTTCAGATCAGGGAACTACACAGGAATTAAAAGGTACAGTGACTAAAGTAAAATTCCTGCAAGCTGCACGGAAACTTTTCAAAGACCCCATACTAGAGGCCCAACTTAAATGTATACCCCAAATTAAAAAACACAGTAAGAGAACCAAAACCCTGCCACTGTGGCTTGGCTTAATCAAGTAAAAGAAGCCATGAGAGATAAAAAGGCATCATTTAAAAAGTGGAAGTTAAATCCTAGTGAGGAAAATAGAAAGGAGCATAAATTCTGTCCAATTAAGTGTAAAACTATAATAAGAAAAGCCAAAAAGGTGTTTGAAGAATAGCTAGCCAGAACCGCAAAAAGTAATAGCAAAATGTTTTTTAAATACATCAGAAGCAGGAAGCCTGCTGAAAAACCCGTGGGGCTCCTGGATGATCAAGATAAAAAAGGAGCACTTAAAGATGATAAAAAGTCATTGACGAGCGTGTAATATTTGCTTCAGTCTTCATGGCTGAGAATGTTAGGGAGATTCCCAAACCCGAGTCATTCTTTTTAGATGACACATGTGAGGAATTTTCCCAGATTGCGGTGTCATTAGAGGTGGCTTTGGAACAAATTGATAAACTGAATAGTAACAAGTCACTGGGACCAGATGACATTCACCCAAGAGTTCTGAAAGAACTCCAATATCAAATTGCAAAACTATTAACTGTGGCTTGTAACCTATCCTTTAAATCAGCTTCTGTAGCTAATGACTGGAAGATAGCTAATGTGACGCCAATATTTAAAAAGGTCATCCTGGCAATTATGAACTAGTAAGGCTAATGTCGATACTAGGCAAATTAGTTTAAACGATAGTAAAGAATACAATTCAGTCACATAGATGAACATAATTTGTTGGAAACGTCAACATGGTTTCTATAAAGAGAAATCATGCCTTACTAGAGTTCTTTGAAGGGGTCAACGAACATGTGGACAAGAGGAATCCAGTAGATATAGTGTTTTTGGTTTCTAGGAAGCCTTTGACAAGGTCCCTCACCAAAGGCTCTTAAGTAAAGTAAGTTGTCATGGGATAAGAGGGAAGGTCCTTTTATGGATTGATAACTGGTTAAAATACAGGAAACAAAGGGTAAGTTTTCAGAATAGAGAGAGATAACTAGTGGTGTCCCCCAAGGGTCCGTACTGGGACCAATCCTATTCAACCTATTTTTAAATGATCTGGAGAAAGAGGTAAATAGGGAGATGGCAACATTTGCAGATGATACTAAACCTCTCAAGGTAGTTAAGACCAAAGCAGACTGTGAAGAGCTTCAAAAAGATCTCACCAAACTAAGTGATTGGGCAACAAAGTGGCAAATGAAATTTAATGTTGATTAAATGTAAAGTAAAGCACATTGGAAAAAATAATCCCAACTATACGCACAATATGATAGGGACTAATTTAGCTACAACTACTCAAGAGAGAGATCTTGGAATCATTGTGGATAGTTCTCTGAAAATATCCACTCAGTTGCAGCGGCAGTCGAAAAAGCAAACAGAATGTTAGGAATCATTAAAAAAAGGGATAGTGAATAAGACCGGGGTGGGCAATAATTTTTGCCTGGGGGCCACTTCAAAAATTTTTGAAGTAGCCCTGGGCCACCCCAGAAAGGGCAGGGCTACCCAGACCATGTTGGGGTGGGGGAGCTCCTTTTCCCTCCCCCTTCCCACTAGTCACCCATGCCCCGGAAGAGGCTTGGCACGCTCCCCCACCCCTAGGCCAATCAGGGCCTGGGGGCGGGGAGCACAGGAAGCCTCCTCCCACCCTGTGAGGAAGTGTCGCGGGCTCCTCCCAGGGCTGGGGCAGGGCAAAGGAGGCTTCACACAGCTCCCCCGCCCCAAGGCCAATTAGAGCCGGGGGGTGGGGGAGCAAGCAAAGCCTCCTCCTCTTTCCACCCTCCTCCCCGCCCCCCAAACCCTGCGAGCAGCACTTCAAAGCGCCACATGCTCCTGGCAGGACGGGAGGAGGCTTCCCATGCTCCCCCTCCCCCGGGCCCTAATTGGCTGAATCCGGCCCGCGGAGGCCCTTTTGCCCACCCCTGAAATAAGACAGAAAACCTCTTATTGCCTCTCTATAAAACCATGGTACTCCTACATCTTGAATACTGCGTGCAGATGCAGTCGCCTCATCTCAAAAAAGTTATCTTGGAAGAGGTTTAGAAAAGGGCAACAAAATGATGAGGGGTTTGGAACGAGTCCCATATGAAGAGAGGCTAAAGCAACTGGGACTTTCCAGTTTAGAAAAGAGGAAACGGGGGGAGGGGATATGATAGAGGTCTATAAACTGGTGTGGGAAAAAGTGAATAAGTAAAAGTTATTTACTTGTTCCCACAATATAAGAACTGAGGGTCACCAAATGAAATGAATAGGTAGCAGGTTTAAAACAAACAAAAGGAAGTTTTTCTTCATGCACGGTTGGCCTGTGGAACTCCTTGCCAGAGGAGGCTGTGAAGACAAGGACTTTAACAGGGTTCAAGAAAAAACTAGATACATTCATGGAGATTAGGTCTATCAATGGCTATTAGCCAGAATGGGTGGGAATGGTGTCCCCAGCCTCTGTCTGTCAGAGGCTAGGAATGGGTGCCAGGAGAGGGATTATTTGATGATTCCTGTTTTGTTCACTTCCTCTGGGATATTGGGTATTGGCCACTGTCAGAAGACCGAATACTGGGCTAGATGGACCTTTGGTCTGACCCAGTGTTGCTGTTCTTATGTTTGCTCTTCAATCTTTCAGACCTGCATGGTAGCACGTCATTACCCTGTGCTAAAACTTCTGGATTTGAGACATGAGGCAAATGCATATTTCATAAAGTATGCATGAGTGTTGAAGATTTTTTGAATAGTATTTTAATCCAGTGAATGTTTTTTTTCCCCCCTCTCTCTAGGTACATATAGGTTATCTTCCTAACAAACAAGTCCTTGGTCTCAGCAAGCTTGCTAGGTAAGTGCTAATGTAATGAAAGTGATGCTAATTTGTAAACAGATTCCAGGCTGTGTTAAGTGTGCTTATCTGTAATCTGGTCCCCTTCTAAAACAAAGCAGTAGTATCTCATGTTCTGGATTTGGGTTTACCACAATCCTTCTCACTAAGTCTACTGGAAAACTAAAGCTAAGTTGCACCCTCTTATTGCTTTAAACCAAAACAGCTTGGGAGTGTGCAGATTGGGGACAGATTCATAACTTCGCTGAAGACTACTCAAAAACACTGGTGTATAGGGTGTACAGTAGAATCTCAGAATTATGAGCTGACTGGCCAACAACACACCTTATTTAGGACCAGAAGGGGGGGGGGGAGAGAGAGAGAGAGAGAGAGAAATATAGTACAGTGCTGTGTTTAAATGCAAACTACTAAAAAATAAATGGAAAGCAGCATTTTTCCTCTGCATTGTAAAGCTTTAAAGCTGTATTGAGTCCACTGTAAACTTTAGAAAGAACCACCATCGTGTTTTGTTCAGAGTTATGAATGTTTCAGAGTTAAAAACAACCTCCATTCCCGAGGTTGCATCACTAGGAGAGTCTACTGTCCAGAAGTGATAAGTGGTTGTTTTAGGGAGCTCTAGTCTTTGGAAGGCAGGCAAAGCAGCCTGCTGTTTGCTTGGACACTGCATTTTAAGCTAAAAGTCCAGAACTTTGTAAATGATAAACAAACATGATTTTAAAGCTAACTCTTTCTGGATTATGTGGCTGATTTGAATTTAAGATTTTCATATCCACATTAGTTGACACTGCAATTAAATCTGACATTTTTGTTTCCTGATAACCTGCAGGGAACAAACCTAGAGATGGATTTTATGGATGAATTTTAAATTAGGAACCAAAGTAATTACAATGCACTTCAGAAACCTATTTGTTTTCACATAAAAAGCTTTTCCCCAGCATGTGACCTTACGTCAAGTGCGGTACTGAATCTGTTGTAGCAAAGATTGCATTTGTGGAGTGATAATGCAGCGAAGATTCCATTTAGTGGAGAGAAGAATGGAAGGTTCTCTTGTGGAAAAAATATCTTGGAAGAAGTTGGCTGTTTGGGAAGGTTGCATAGAAGTTTATTTATTTATTCTCCCTCTGATACACGTGTAAATCCTCTGTGGCTCCCAGTAACGCTAATGAGGGTTAAACTTGTAAATCCGCAGGCATGCTGGGTTCTCTTAGCAGGGAGAATCAAATATACCACGAAAGCACTTTCAGTGCAGCTGCTCCCATTCTGCACTTTGTGTAAGAATGATTTGTGACTCCGAGCTGGAGAGACTCTTATACCACGAGCAAGCAATTTTTGTAAGAATAACCTCAGATTCCATGGAGTTCATCAGTCCACATGTTATGTCTCACGTGGTCTGACCGCTAGAAAAGCTGAACTTTTGCCCCGAGTAACAGGCTCAGACAGACCGTGTTCAAAAGAATCTAGAAGATGTGTTGTATTTAACGGGTACAAAACTGTGCGTGTCTGTATGTGGCAGGCATTGCAGTAACACAGAATGAGAATCTGTTGAGCTATTATCAGTGTATTGCTAGATTTATCTGGATAGAAGTTTGTGGCATACAATTTTGTTTTTCTTTCACTGTCAGTTAGCACTAGAAATCTTTCTGATGGGTGGCATTTCATGATGTGTGATCCATCAGCACTCTTGTGGCTGAGACTTCAAGAATAAGCTGTTTGTTGCTATTTTTAAGTAGACTTTCTGAAGATGACTGTCCTTACTGAAAGTATTCACTCACATTTTACTGACCCTATTTACTGAAGGGTTTTAATTCTCGATGTTTTCAGACTCTGCTCTGGATCACATTTGAAGTAGAAATCAATTGGATTGAGTTTATATTTGTCTGCAATTGTCTCTGAATTGCAGGAGTACAAAGGAACTCTCAATTTAAGAATCGCTTGTCTTGAACGATTCTTTATAGAGACGGCAACACTGTCTAAAAGTGTATAATTTTCTTTCCATCTGTTAGCAATTGGTATAGAACTACACCATGGGGTCTGAAATATTGACCTGTTGTATGATTTCGGGCTCTGATCCTGTCCTTAGGAAATAGGTATGAAATCCCCATCATTTTCAATGGCAAAAGATCGGGCTTTCAGGCTGAAAACAAATTATGACGGAATAGTATTTTGCAAACACTGATGTAAAAACAGACTGGATGGCCAATGAGTATATCCCTTCCTTGCCCTATTTAATGTAACCTATGGCTCAAATGAAGCTTTGTGAGGCTGCTGGTGCCATGGGTTTAATCTATCCTAATAGGATTATTCTGATTAGTTTGTATAGTCAAGGATGACCTGCGTTCAGTGAACAAACACCTTTCCCTGGCTTTTAAAAACATGGCTTTCAAATCTACTGCAAACAATCCTATTACAAAGATACTTTCATATCCTCTTCTAGAGGATCTGAGAATATTCACCTGCAACCTTTTTTTTTCATTTGTTTATCAGTATTTCTTATCAGTGTTGGTGCTACTTTCTGTAAACTGCATGGTGACATGTCCCTTGCTCTTCAGTAGAGGGGCTTGTTTTGTGAAACCCATCCTCGTCCTCTGTAAATGGTACTCGCTGGCTTTTTCACAAGTGTCTAATTGCTGGCCGAGGCAGGGCAACGCGTGTCTGGTTTTTGTCTAGACTGACAAACTCCTCATACAGAAGCTTCCTGATGCAGCCAATGGGCTATCTTATTAAGCATTCAGGATTTGCATACATACCTCCTCCTATAATTCACCAAGCTGAAGTCTTGTGTCTCTGACCGTATGGATTTCAGAACTATATTGATGCGCTACCCCACTGCCTGCATAATAATCCTGTGTCAGAAATGGTTTAATCTGCAGCCCAATTAAAAAGCAGCATTCAGATGATCCCTGTATGTATTTAAATGAAAGTACCAAAACTTGCAATCCCAGTCTCAAAAATCTGTTTCTTTGACGTCCAAGTGGGCCCAGTTCCTAAGCTTTAAAGGTACAGTGTGTCAGCGCTTCCAGAAACAGCCTTTATTTGGTGCCTGACTTGATTGCAAAATCCCCAAATAAAGCTGAGATAAAGGATGCGACAGAGTTAATGGGTCACAGAACAGGCCCTGCACAAGCAACAGTCAAGCGAAAAACCACAGGGAGCCAGGAGACACAACAGTTGGTTACCCCCAGGAAGGATAATCCATTTGTTGCTGTACCCTGTTGCAGGCTGGGAGAGTTCTAAATAACCCTGTCATTTAAGGAGCACACACCAGATGCTTGGTGGACCATGAGGGTTTTCTCTCCCATCAGACACTGGGGCAGCTCATTAGCATGGCTTTTTACACACTTTAAACGTTCACTGTGTGACCATTGTTGAATCCTCACCAAGGAGCTGCAATAACCAAGGTTTTGTTTCTGTCTAGGATTGTGGAGATCTACAGTAGAAGACTACAAGGTAACTAGACTCTTTTATTCTGAGAGAGAACACTTCCACTATGCCATCACATTGAGGAAACAGGCCATGGTATGTCTCATTGGCAGGTCACTACCGCAGTCCGGTCTCTGGGCAGATTTTAAATGGGTGTCACGATCCAGGCATGTCTAGTCAAACCCCGTTTTCTTGCCTGTTGCTATTCTCCTGAAAAGCAGCGTGTTCCCATGAAAACTGACCGACTCTGGCTAGGAGACTGACCCAGGGGAAAGATGTCAGAGGGGTCACCGAGTAAGTCTGTAACTTTAAAAACAGCGAGTGGTCTTGTGGCACCTTGGAGAATAACATATATAGTATCAATAGCTTTCATGAGCAAAACCCACTTCCTCGGGTGTGCTTGAGTGGAGAAAAAAGGGGAACTATCAGAATTATAACAGAAAAAGGAAGAGGGGAAAAAATGTATCTGTTGATAGTAGCCAGGCTCTTAGGGGCCATGTAGATTTGTTTGTTCAGCAAAGGGAAATGAAGCTGCGATTTAAATAATCACGGCTTCATTTAAATGTACATGGCTGCCGCGCTGAGCCGACAAACAGCTGATCAGCTGTTTGTCAGCT